AGAGTAAGTTGTTACTTTAAAAACATAAAATTAGTTTCTAATAGAAATTCAACCATTATATTTACAAATTTGATTCTTATAATGTTGATATTAAATGTTTATATATTTTCGATTTTAATCTATTTGATAAAAACACTAAATTTATATATGATATAAATAAATATTTCTGAAATTTTTTATGGGCTTGGTTCCCTATTGTGAACCTGAACGAATCACGATGGGTTTGACTTAAAAGCCATTTTAATTACCACAGAGCAGAAAAAGTAAAAAGTGTAAAATTATATAAACTTTCAATATTATAATGAATTACCATACTTTTATAGAAGTTGATCGAAAAGTCAAGCAGTAGGTGTTAGGAACCAATTTTAATTTGTAAGGTTAATGTCCGAAGTATATAAGGTACTAAAAAGAAAGTTTATAATCTGATTTTTATGAAAAGCAAAATCAAATCATTATATTGAAACATGTTTTGAAAATAGCCTTTTTGTTCTCGAGTGTACGTGCAACCTCCTTTTACTGCTTCCTGCAACTTTGTGAAGCACATGAAAATTAATACTGGAAATCCCCGTTATAATGTTCGTTTTTAGTTTTTCTATTGCGTGTGAGTTATTTTTTTCCTCGGTTCCTTTGAGGTACTCAGAGGAAAATGTCTGGAATGAGAAAAGTTTGGGATGATCCTAAGGGCCAAAATTTTTTAGGAGTAAGGTTGCGGCTTCTGTATTTCAAGTTGTGATCCTAATATAATATGTTCTTACTTCTATTTTCAGGTTATCAGTGCAATCTACTCACTCTTATCTTCTCTTATTGAACTAGAAAAAACGACAAATAATAAATGTAGAAACGGATTGATTAAGAATGGAAATTATTCTAAAATTAATGTTAAACTTTACTCGAATTGAACATTCTGATCTTTTGAAGCAAATCATTCTTATGTTTGTACTTGTTGTAGATTAATTATGAGATATTCTTTAATAAAACTTCACTAACTGCTGCAAATGAGATCATTTACAATCAAGAATTTCTTAAATCACTTCTATATTATTGAAATTAGAAATATATTTTATGTAAATATCTGCGTAAATGTAATTCAGTGAACTGATTTTGCAACATAACCGGGTTTTAAAGACTCCTGACTTTTCAACTCAATCTTTATTGAATATATTTGAAACATTTCATATACTATTCGAGTTAATGTTGAAATTTTTATAGTTCCTCTTTAATGAATATAATTATTAGTGTTTATTTAGGTAGTGTTAATCAATATTACTAATAAGAAATTTCAAAGGTTTAATGTATCTGATGTTCTCGTAATAATTTTGTACTTATTGTAATTATTTAAGTCTTATTGTATTGCATAACACTATAAACTCTCTTATCTAGAGTCACATCAACTGGAATGTAATTAATGCATTTGGATGAGTGATTAAGACATATGAAAAGGCTTTTGTACGCTTTTAGCCAGAATCAATAGAATAAAATGATACACTTAGTGCAGACAGTAGCACGCTGTTTATTCTATGGGCAAAAGAGACATAGACCCCATCAACACAAACTCCGAAACCAATCTTTAATAAGAAAATATTTCCCCAAAAATTTCCTCTCGAAGGAAAATGTCTGAAGTCGCAGTATACATGGGGTCTACTATTTCAAAGTCGCTTGGGCCCTTTAAAACTATAACGTGCCGATGAGTCGAGGTGTACAATTTATTACTAAGGAAGGTATGCTTTATTTTCTTCACGTTTCTTTGAAAACTCTCCTGTCGTTTGCAAGATTTAAACGGTACAGGGTAAAACATATTGAAATTTTCGGGGGTGAACGAAATCCTTCCACACACACCTTAATATCCATACATACAGAAAAATCTCCGATTTTTTGGGAGGGGACCTAATTCTTGCATTCTGTGAAAACGGGTAAGATTGGCTGTAATGTAATTATCTTAATCTTCGCTATCTTACTTTTTGCCCGAGCAACACCGGGCTTTTATATGGAAAAAATTATATTACATATAAATATACGAACAAATAAAAACTCAGCGAAGCGGGTACTTGCAGCTAGTTGATTTATAATATCTATACACTTTTATATAGTGGGGCTTTGATGCTATTACAATATAAATGTAGAGTTCTAAATTTCAAAATTTTTGGTCAATGAAGTTATGTGATATTAAGTAAAATACTCGAAAATAAATATCGAAAAATCTTTTATAGGAAACTGGCACCTATTTAGGTGTTACAAACGTGAAGAAAACCGCAAAAACTCCACATAACCAGTCCATTGGAGAGGAGCGAACCCACGATTAAATAAGTTACCAGTGTTCAGTGGTTATATCCACTTGGCCACTGGTGGGCACTTTTGGAACGAAAAGGGAGCAAGGGACAAAAACATATAGGGAAAGGTGGTGCAAGATGGGATCATGGGGTAAGACGGGGACGTCTGTTTAATGTGCTTTTATCTAGCTGTTACTTGGGGAACTAAATGTCAACCTCAAACGGGATCATGGGACAAGAGAACGTCCAAATCGCTCTCTTTGTTTGGAAGCAACATACGTTATGCTTCAGCAATACTTCATCTAATTTTATGCCTGCTAAAAAGTTTCTACAAAGTAAATATCATTGTGAACTTTTACATTACCTTTTACATGAAGATATTATGGTATTCGAAGTAACCTTTAAGACTGAAATTGTTTAGTTTTGAAATGAAGTTTACATGTGTTTGCGGTCAGTATGAAAAGTGTACGTTAGGGGCAAGATGGGAAATCTGTCTAACCCCAGGTTGACTATGAATATGGCCTATGAAATTAGAAGTATTTTTGGAGGCAGACTTTTTTCGCTGCAGAGACGACAAACAGGCCCCTTCAGCAAGGGTGGGCCTAACAAGAAACAAAAGACAAATGACACAGAATGCCTCTATTGTGGAGGGTTATACTCTATATTTACAGAGAGTTGGACTAAATGTAACCGTTGTGATAAATGGGCACACTGTTCTTGTGCCAATATATATAAAAATAATATCTCAATCTTACCTCATGAAATGAAGCAAGATGATGTATTTACATATAATTTTAAAATATTGAATTTTCTTTTTTTTAAAAACGTTATTCAAAACTTAAATTTTCTATTATGTATTACCAAATGTTGTAGTTGCTGAGAATAAAAAAAAATTATTGTTCTCATTAAAGTGGTTGCCATCTTATGACTTTTCAAACCTTAACATCTTTATTTTGCCCCACCTTTCCCTCCAGGGTAATTCAAATTGACTTATCCAGGTATATGTTTTTGATTAATGCAATTTATAGAACTATTATGCATATAAACAAATGTTCAAATGTTTTCTTTCCATTAAATTCAGTTTACTTTCAATAATCCGGCAAACGTCTTATTGAATCCCATGCTGTTTCGGTCCCAAATATGCCTAAATACTGAGATCGTACAGAATTTCATTTAGGAACAAGTACTGATTCGAAAACAAAACGTTATTTTATTTATTTAGGAGAGTTTTATCATCGTTTGCAAACTTGTAAAATTGAAATAATGGAATTTTCTGAGTAATTTTCTTCATTTTATGATTACTAAAGGAAATATAATTAAACCATTATCCAGATGTAGAATAATACTTTACTGCATTGTAAAATGATTTCTAAACCTTAGTAAGACTGGAGAGAATTAACAATACATAAATAAACTGACGAAAATTTATCGGTAAATATTTCCTATTACATTTTTGTGTATACGAATAATAAATATCATTATTAATTTACTTATGATTTAGATAATCGAAATTGTAATTGAAAATATGCGTTTTATTAAATGATTATAAATATAATATATAAATGATGTTTTACTGATAAAATATGTTTTGTTATAATATTTACAATCATTATTTAGAGACATTAAGTTCGAAATTTCAATAAAATTTTTATTAATTTATGCGCAAGGAATGGACAACAGCTGCAAACAAAGAATATTTACCGAAATTTGTATGAATAGCTCTGTAATATTTTATGTATAATTTTATAAAATTTACAATATAATAAATAAAAATTATAAATTATGTTTAAATTTTGTAAGTTATTTAAATATTTTTAAAATTTTTTTCTTAATTAAAATGATAAAAGAGGATCAACTATATCAGTAGTGCCCAAACTACTGCCTTCCAGGTCAAACTGACCTGCGAAATATTTCATACGTCATTTATAAATAGGCTGACTTTTTGTATATTTGTAATGTACAAAATATTTCTGTCTCGCCAATCGAAAACTATGGACACCACTGATTTATACAACAGAAATTTTCGTGTTTACCTTTATGTTCATGAACACCATTATATGTTCTTTTAAAAGAATTTTTACGGTTTCCGTACGTTCATCCTCATATTCAACACGATGCCAATAATCCTTAAGAAGTTTTACGTTCGCTTTTTCTAATTTTTTGAATAAAAATATATAATTTTAATTAATTATTATTTTTTCTTTCATACGGAGCTAACACAACTTTTAATTTGAAATTATGTTTTAATTTTGAGTGTTTTGTTAAAAGTCTTATTACCTTATGCTAAAATTATTGGAAATTTAAAATATTATTTGCTTAATAATTACAAAAACTCAGAATTTATATAATTTAAAAATATATAGGTCTATATTTACACAATAATTTAAGCAGTTAGTTAAACCCAACTTTACGACTTTTGCTTTTAGGACAGACTCTTGATTTCTACAACTATATACCAATATGGCGGGACATCCTGTTCGTATTAAATCTGCACAGTGGAAAAACGCATGTGGATTAAATGATTTGGTTGATTATTATATATATAAGCCATTGTTCCCAGTGTTTGTATACCTGTCATCTTTAATTTGTAATCTGTCACGGAATGCTAGAACGCCTACTCGGAGCGTATATATTATTATGTTTATTTGTAATAGGAATTTATTATTGCTATAAATTTATTATTTATACCAAGGAATGACATCGCTTCCGCTAGAACGCTCACTAGGAGGCATCCCGGGCTATCTGGTTTCTCTATAAAATGTAAGCAAACTGCACGAATCGCTTCATAATTCTTCATCATCTAACAGGTAAGATGCATTAAGTTAAAATTTTTAGAATAACCTAGTAATTTAATTACACTTTTCTATCTGAAAAATACAGTAAATTCTATATTACAAAATAAACACTGTAGGCTATAGAATATTCTTATTGTTATCTTAGGAGGAAAAAAAAAGCAGGAATGATTTACCTCTTTTTAATTTGTTTGGTGTGTGTTGTGTTCGAAGTTAATGGTACCATAATGGATCTCAATGTTCCTGGACATAAAAGTAAGTTAAAGATAATTTTACATGTTTATCATAATTTAAGACATTAAATTTATTAAATGTAAAATAAATATTTTGTGTTTGAAATAATTTCTCAAATCGTGCAATCTTCATTTAAACAAATTAAATGTATATTTCATCAGAAATCTTATTGCATGCTCATGGTATTTAAGGAAACATTCCTGAATCAATTTTTAAAATATCCAGCAACTAATTGCCTAACTTTTTTTGTAACATTTAAAACTGAGTGTGACGTCTTCTGTTTTGATATTTTATTATTAAAACCTTTTTGTTTTTTTAATTATTATAAAATGGCAAAAAGCTTAATATTATTCACGTTGTGCAATGATGAGTAATTTCAACTTTGCGAATTGCAGAATACAAAACACCTTTCCTCCATTTTCGTTTAGAGCGTTTCCTAGAAGTAATGTACAACAAGAAATTTGAAAGTAGATTAGAGTTGAAACTTGCACAGTCATTCTATTGATTAATGTAAAATACATCGCGTACTTCTCACATAATATATATATAATTACTTGTCCTGACTGATTGACTGATTCGTTTATCACCCAGAGCAAACCGCTGAACTTAAAGAGGTGAAATTTGGTACACAGTTAGGGTACGTCATGAAAACGCACACTAAGAAGGTATTTTTCGAAATTCTCCCTCGGGGGAGAGTCAGAGGATTAACGTGATTACGGCTTCTACTTTACTGTTTTAAATGAGATTTTGTTTTTAACTACGTTTAGTCTTCATTGAGTACTTAGGTGTATTAAATTGATAACATTTCAGATATTGTTATGAATATTTTTATATATTTCGATTTTTTAACCAAATGTTCGAATCATTTTAAATGCGAATTTGTTATTGCATATTGGTTCGATTGTAAACGTTCCAGAAAATTGATCAAATTGAAAATAGTTCGTTTGATTCTCGGCAAATTCTCATCATTCTCAGCGGTAGGTGTTATATAACAATTACTATGGTTGTTGAAGTACTGAATATAAACCGTGTTTGCTTGCAAAACTCCCGCGGGCGAAGTCGCGGGTAACTATTAGTAATTAACATAATTACAGAAACATAAATGATCGCATGCATTTTGAAACACTTTGTATATTATAATGCCCAAAACTAAATTTGACATTTTCCAGCTGAATACAGAAAAAGCTGTTTATTAGAAAATCGTGTGAGTTTGAGAATAAGTAGATGATGGGAATTTTTTCTAGAGCAAAATAAATTACTTTCAATAAGTACAACTACAGGGCGTATTACAGCTTTACACAGAACATAAGAATGAATCACTCAAGTTATCTGTCTAATGTGAACAAAACGTGTTAAAAGCATGATGACCACCATTGTCTGATAACATATGAGGATCCCAGAGCCAAAAATCGGAAAGATTGAGGGCTGAGAATCTTGCAGGCCAATATGCAACTATTTTAGCTTAGGAAGTGTTTCTTGTGGTTGTTTTCTCTAGAAAAAATTTCCATCGTTTTATCCTCAATGTTTTATTGCATTTCCAAACTTTCATGACTTTCTGATAAATAGTTTTGGCTGTAGTCAGTTGGGAAATATCATGTCTAATTTGGGTCACCCTATACTTTTAAATAATGAAACAGGTGAATTTAATAAAATTATAAGATATGAATACATAAAAAGATAGTTGCAAGCTAGATCGCATATTGATTTTTAATGTTGACAGGGCTTTTTAATAAACTTGTGAATCTCCTACAGAATGTTTAACGTACTGTTACTTTCAATGTCACTCTATTGTTCATTCTTGCCACATGGCAAGTCCATTTTCTTTTCACAATCATGAATAGATTTTTACTACGATTCTTATCCTTAATATCTTATTGCCATAATATTTCTTGTGTTCAACTTTACATAAGCCCATTATTCTTTCAATTGCTCTTCGAATGGCTTTCAGAATTCGTTTTTCATGTTGGCCCCATGAAACACTTATTTTCTTATAAGTGTTTCATGTGGCCAACATGAAAAACGAATTCTTGAAAGCCAAGTTAAGTTATTAAAAAATTTAATTTATTTTTATAAAATTTAAATAGGAGATTGCACAATTAAAGGGAAATCGTTTAAACCTGGAGAAGAATATATGGATGAACAAAACTGTGAATTATATTCTTGCAAGGCATTTGATAATGGACAAGCTTACGTCGATGCATCAATGTAAGAAAATCGACTTACATATTACTTTTTATGAGTTTTTAAATAACAGCGTATGTTTTATTCAAACAGATGTAGCATAACAATAGAGATTAACGATGATGATGGTACTGTATGCTACTATAAAAAGACAACAGGAAAATATCCGGATTGCTGTAATGGAAAATTAGAATGTACTGGGGAAAAGTACGAAACATTAGGTTTTAACTAAATATATCTAAAATACATGTTAATGACGAAACAGAAGCTACTATAATACTATCTCATATAAACTTTATTCTAATGTCTTAAACATAACATTTAAACTATGTACTGTTGAGTAAATTTATTTATCAAATGTTTAATAAACGTTACTGAAACCGATATGAGTCACTGTGTAAAATATAATTAATAATATTAAAAATACTTAATTTTGTATACATAATACATGGATATAGAATATTTAAAAATGTTTTAAAAAAGCGATATCATAACTGTCATGTGTCAAGATGAACAAAAGACCCATGTAAAAGAAATTCGAGAACGAATAATTCTCGGGTTTCTTGTACATATGTAATTTTAACGGGTGTTTACTTCAAACATCATTACAAATGATCCAATTATACGATTATTTCAAATAAAGAATTGTAAAATGCTCTGAATTTTTTGAGAAGTTAGCCTAAGTATTTGTTCAAAATGTTCTTTACTTATTGAGATTTTAAGGTGGAAACGTTTTGAATCGAAAGGGATTTTCCATTTCATAAGCCTCTTATAAGAGCAAATGTAATGTAGGTTACATAAATATCTGTATTTAGCGTACATAAAAAATACATATATGAATTTTATTTTGATATGTGCCTTTATTGAGAAAAACACAAGAAATACTCTCGTGTGTTTCTTTTATGATTTACTTAAAATGTAACATTTCTAAGTCATAAACCTAATCATCACAGTGAAGTATTCATTTAAATTTCGGTATTGGATTATAATTATTTAAATTAAGATAATGGCCATCTACAGAAAAGAATGTACTGTACAATCACGAATGCATTCAACAGATAAATAAAAAATTCGTATGTTAAAATATCACAACAAAAACACCAAAGTAGAAAAACAATGTAAATAGAAATAGGATTTTATTCTGTTATAGGCCTACGTTATTCAAACAATTTTTTTTGATAGTCGTTTATAACTGTTTTCCATGAAAGCACCCTCCTGCCATTGTGAGGGCAACAGGTTACTGACGAACAAGACAGATGATTTTATCCTCGATAACAGAGTCGTCCAGCCTGTGAATGATCCCTAAGATGGAATGCTGATGCCTTTACCACGTGGATCGTTATTTTTTATACAGGAAAGTTTTCTCACTTTACTGATTATCTCATAGTATCTTTTTTAATTAACATGCAACACCTGTATATTTGATTAAAATCAGTTATTAACATTATAACCGTATAAACAATCACAGATAAAGCGTTACAAGTTTCTCAATGAGCCTTTCCTTACTGAATGTAAGTTTAATAATAATGGATTAACTTTTATCTCTAACTCTGGATGCTTAGTTGACTGATTTTCTCTATTTCATCCTGTCTAAAAGAGAAAAATACTTTCCTCTATAAATATATTCGCAGAGATAAATTCTTTAATTTTGTTTCACAATTTAAAGTTTTATCAAATATTCTGTTGAATGAAGTTAAGACTGACGATGATCAGATTTTAATTAAGACTACTTGTCAATCATTAAGCATATTTAAATAAAAATGGTAAAATTACATATAGGATTATCATTGTATACACTGGCACTTCTTACATAAAACAGAAGAACATAACTACTTATTTTATTGGCATTCGAGTGATTAACGTGTTAAATCAGATCACTTATTTACCGTTGAATGAAACACAATCAAATCAAACCATTCAATTACCATTAAATAAAACCATTTATTTACCATTGAATGTAACACTTACAAACGAATCGAACCACGAATTTATTATTGAATGAAACAATCATATCAAACCATTTACTTATCTTAGATAGAACTCATACTAACCATTAAATGAAATCACTTTTTTAACATCGAATGGAACTCATACTGACCATTAAATCAAACCACTTATTTTCCCTCTGGTTTTATGCCATGTGTTAGGATATTTTATAAAGATAACATTTTAAAAATTACTATTATTACAAAATACAAAAGCTATATTTTATAATAGGGAAATTTTTAGAAATATTTTAGATGCTCGTAATAAATAAAATTTTTATTAAGTTCTTATTCTAATTACAGCTATGACTCATACCGTTTCTATCTTTTTTATTGATTTATAATAAACATACACCTATATATAGTGGGGCTTTGATGCTATTAACAAATAAAAGTATTTTTCTAAATTTCAAAATATTTGTTCAAGTGGGGTTCTGTGATAAAAAGCAAAATAGTCCAACACAAATACCGAGAAATATTTTAAGGGAAACTGGCACCTATTTAGGTGTTACAAACGTGAAGAAAACCGCGAAAACTCCACGTGACCAGCCCATTGGCGAGCAGCGAACCCACGACTAAATAAGTTACCGGTGTTCAATAATTATATCCATTCTGCCACTGGTGGCACCTTTTTTCGTTCCAAAACTGCTTTCCGAGTGGTTATATTCAGTCGGTGTGCACTTTTCAAACGACAAGGGTGCAAGGAACAAAAACATATACAGAATGAGTTATATTGAGTTATTCTGTATATGTTTTTGACGTACAGAACTATCATGTGAATAAACAAATGTTTTTTTCCATTAAATTCACTTTACTTTTAATAATCTGGCAAATTTCTTATCGAATCCGATGCTGTTTCGGTCCCAAATATGGCGAAATACAGAGATCGTAAAAAATTGCAGTTACGAACAAATACTGATTCGAAAATAAAACGTTATTTTATTTATTTAAGAGAGTTTTATTATCGTTTGCAAACTTGTAAAATTGAACAATTGAAATTTTCTGAGTAATTTCTTTATTTTATGATTAGTAAAGGAAATATAATTAAACCATTACCAAGATGTAGAATAACACTTTATTGCATTGTAAAATGATTTCCAAATTTTAATAAGACTGGAGAGAATTAACAATACATAAATAAACTATTGAAAATTTATCTGTAAATATTTCCCTTTACATTTTTGTATATACGAATAATAATCATTATTAATTTACTTATGATTTAGACAATCGAAATTGTTATTGAAATTATGCGTTTTATTAAACAATTATAAATATTCAAAGTAGGCTAAAATATGTTTTAAGCATTTGTTATTATATTTACAATCACAATTTATAGATATTAAATCGGAAAGTCCAATAAAAATTTTATTAATTTAAGCATAACGAATGGTCATAGCTGCAAACAAATGTGGGGTTCGGGGCCGTAAAGGTTTATAAAACACTTTTTATGTAGAGTCCTGCCACCAGGTGTGTTTTATCGGACACACCGCCGTTTGAGATGAAATGGATGATTAAAGCGAAAGGGTAAGAGCCACTCCGAAGTCCAGGAATGAGCCTCTCAGGAGAAAGAATGCAGAGTTAGATATAACCAATTTAAGAACATTTATTTACATAGACAAAAGTTTAGAACAGAATTATAAAAGCTAATTTTGGAAATTTGCCTATTTTTATCTATACAACTAGGGGTGCATAACGGGGGTTATTCGAGCTTACGCGACTCACAACATACCAGATAAACAAGATGTCTTCTCTTGTGACGTGGACATGACGGTCAAGACTGCGAAGGTTTCTGGTGTTCGCTTCATTTCGTCTTGTGCTTACTCGTTTTTGAGTTGTCTTCTCTTGAACTACTGTTTCTCTGGTGCTCGTCTGGTTTCACTCTCTGGGTCTCTGTCTGTCTAATTGTGACTGCGACTACAACTCGTTCTGCAACAACTTTTTCCGTGACAGCGTCTGCAACTCAACTGCTTTTCTTTGACTTTCGCTGTGTCCCAACTGCTGACTATCTCACTGTCTCTTTCTGACTGTCTTCCTAACTGGACTGTGTCCTCATCTCTAACTGGACTGTATCCGTATCTCTAACTGTTTTTTTCTAACTCCGACTGGAGTGTCCCCATATTTAACTGCTTCTTCTGTCTAACTTTCTCTGACTGGAGCTATCATTTTAAACCCTTCCAGCATGAGAAAGTTCATTATATGGTGATGATTCATTGGCAGTGTCATCATTGTAGCTGAAGCAGTGTTTTCTTATTTGGTGATGATGTCAAGCTTTCGTAGAGTCATCTCTGTATTGACATTACTCATCTTTGCTCTTAGTCGTTGTTTGTTGATTGCTTTGACAGTTTTTCATTTAATATGTAAACATTGCCAAAAACAAGGGGGATGCAATGTTTTTTATTTCTATATATATCTTTTATAGTTTTTGGTTATTTGGTTGCTCCTTCCTCTTTTCTTTGGCATGTTGTGAGATTTCTGATAGTTGGATAATAAACTGTTTTATTCTAATTAATTTAAGTTGATATTAAAATTTAGAAAAGGGGGGGACCCTAGATTGGTAACATAGGCGAATTTCCTGCTACAACTTCGGTTGTTATTCAAGATACAATTAAGGTTCACGCGAATACATAATTAAAAAAGATATAAAGTAAATAAACAAAAATTATCACAAATAACAGTTCACAATGCATATATAGATATTTTTGGAGGGAGGAAGTGCTGGACTTCACATCACTCTGCCATTTCCGAAAAAAATGTTTATGACATTTTTTTTTCCTTCATTGATGTCATTCACTGTCACCGTTTAGTCAGTTACCTATTGTTAGCGTCGTACACCACTCCTCGGCATCCTGAGATGGTTGGAATATAAAGAGTACATCATGCAACAGGAAGTTTTCAAAGTTTTCACACAAAAAAAAGTCCACAGTTTTCTTTCTTGTCTTTAGGCCGAAGTTCGCTGATTTAAAGATGAACGAGCAGAGTAACGACTTGTTCTCTGCACTGTGTTGGAATATGCGCTGACATAGTTGATCTTGTGGTTCTTGGTGACCTTTGTCCTGAAGTTCTTGAAGTCCAGGATGATAGAATAGACGTTAACAAGTCTAACAGCTCTGGTCGGAAAGTCATTCCTATTCCTCTGTTCACGCTCTTTTAAATTTGAAGTCTTTACTTTATTTAATTTGGATTTATATATTTTCCGGTGAGTTTTACTTTTGTTCCTTTGGGAAGAATTTCCTTCTGATTTTAACCAATAAAATTTTTCTGTTTTCTCATTAGGAAACTTAAGTTTGTTTTGGCTGAAGAGAACATCAAAAAATGCAAACTCAAACACAAATTTCTTGTTTATCTGGTCAAATTTCAAGTTTGAGTTACCCTGCACG